AATATTATTATAATACCTAACCACTTAAACTAGCTAGTTTATTACAGATTTATTTACTGACTTCAGCTTAGATTCTCTCAGAATGCTTATTATTCAACATATTATGAGCTCACAGATCTCCAGTTAATCTCAAAGCATACCTACTAGAGCAGTTTATGCTTATTTTACAAATTTACTTAGTTTAGATCCTTGTAGATATTCATACAACTCTAGTTCCTACTATAGCTCTCTACTAGTTTTCTGTTTGCTGATCTCTTCAGATATTTCATGAGGTAGATCTTTTTAATCTAGTTAGCTACTAAGCCAAGTTGGTATTATTGATCCTCCTTGTAAAACAGACTTACTTGTATCTTACTCGATCTATATTTTTAGAAGTGACAATTTTTTTTTTAGATTAAGTATTAGCTAGTATGATTGTTAAAAGCTATACTACTTCACTAACTTGGGATTTCTACTATGCAGATCCTCTGCTTATAGATTTTATCAAGATTTATTTATATAACATTACATCTCTTCAAATATCTTATTACACTTCTAATATCTGAATGATATTAGTGCAATATAATTTATAGGGTTACAATTCCAAAAACAAACAGAGTTTACTATAAATTAGGTATAAAGGTCTGGATAATTATTCAAATTTGTCAACAGTAGAATTTGAACTCCAGACTTCTTGTATAGTAGTCTAGCAACCTAACTACTACACTAAGATCACCAGACTTTAACTGTCATAATATTATAATTATTATAATTGTTATAATCATTATAAATACTATAATAAGTTATAAAATATAAGTAATTGTATCTTGTATATTCTTACAGACATGTAATAGCTTATCAAATTTCATAATAGATAAGTATATATGAATAAAAATTAATTTATTTAAATACCACCAGAAGAAAAATAGATTTTGAGTTTTCAAGTTTATAACTTAATAACTCAGCTCTTAAAAATCTAAATATATAACTAAATTTAATTACAGTTACATCCCCCTAAGTGCACACCCCCTAAGTGCAAGTACTATATAAAACCTCTTTAAATGCAAGTTATAGGTTGGTCCCAACTTATAAGAACCTTATATATTTTATTCTCCATAAGTGCAAACCTCCTCTAAGTGCAAAATTTTGATTTTTTTCACTATGGTCCTGATGGTATACACTTAGGAAGGTGTGACTATATTATATTCTATATTAAATTTTTTTAGAAGTTGAGTTAGTTAAGTTATAAACTTAAAATATCAAACTTGGTTTTCTTTTGAAAGTACTCTTAATATAGAAAGACATATTATAATATATTGTAGATTTAGATATGACAATTAATACACATAATTATTTGATGACTGGTTTTGAAATTTGCAATTCATATGGTATTTTTTAATTTTGTAATAATCTATATTGATATTATTACAAATTTTTAAATCATTAAAATCTTATTAATATCTAGTTTAGCATGATTGTATCATGCAATTATAGATTATTATACTTATTATGACTTTTATATCTATTATTATTATTACACTCATTATAACTATTACACCTATTATGACTATTGTATTTATTATGACTATTACATCTATTATAGCAAAAAATTACAACTTCAAGATTAAAGGTTGCAACTTTCTAACTCTAGTAAACCTATTACAGCAGGCAACCTTATACCTAAACACTCTAGTAGCAGCTAAATGATGTCAAGTTTAGAAAGTTAAGTAGATTCTAAAATTATATGTAACTTAGCCAAAGCTATAGTTAACAACTTAATAAAGTTTATGACATGACTGTCAAAGAAAAAAAAAAAAAATACTATTAGAACTATCTTAGTAAATTCTACAACTAAGGTTTACTTAATAAAAAAATAAATTTTTTTGTTAAAACTCAAAAACTTTCTACATTTTCTATCTATGTAAATCATATAGTAATCCGCGTTGTTTTTTTGTCTAAGTGACTCATGAATCACCAATTAAACTACTTAATATATTTTATTTTACAAATAAAAATATCTTTAATTCTATTATTTTTTAATAATAAAAAGATCTAATACAATTAATTTAAGCATGTTAAAGCTAGTAAATGTACCCGAGTAAAGATTTTTGCTTGAATAACATAGTATTCATCCGGGTAGTGATTTTCTCAACGGGTACAAACTCTAGTTAAAGCTAGCCAAAATCACGTCTATCAGGCCGGTTACAATTTGCAAATTTACATAACTTACTATGTTAGCTGTAATTTTGACCAGAACATGCGAATCTCAATGCAGAAAAATTATCATCCCTTGTTATATTCAGAGCTTTATGTACAATTAAATGTTGTGAATAAAAATTACGTAATACGTATAAATACACGTATATACACGTAGTGAGAAATTCTCTTTAATTAAGATTGTAATAAAATAAAATAAAATATACAGAATAGGTTGGTTGGAGGCAAACTTCTGATGATTAGTAATCATTTATTATACTATCATTACGCGAATATATACGTAGTAATAGCGGAGTTCGCCCACCAATATGCACACATACTCATACTACGTTATTAATTATACATACATATAACAAATTTATTATGAAGTGTTATATTATATAGAAATCATAAAGAGGAATGTCAACCGCATAATAAAAAAAAAACAAGTTATCGATCACCCTTTTGTATAACAGAATGTACCTTTACCCAATCGATACTAATTATTAGTATTTTAGTATTAAAACCTGGGGGAATAATAGAACTTTATGCAATATCGTCGATCAATATTTGAAAATTTCTAACTATGATGCCACTCGATTAGGAAGTAATACATGTGATTTTTATTTGTTACATAACATACTAATGTGGTACTAGAACGTACTTCCAGTAACATGCACCTCAAATTTTTTGTTTTTCTCTGATTTCCGATTCTCTCTCTTGATTGCTTCAAAAAATTCACGATATCTATATGATTTGATCAATTATACCACATAATCCTATATTTTGTTTTTTAGATTTTTGAGGTAAAAAAAAAAAGAAATGAATCAAAATCAAATGAGTTATTTTTATCTTTATGAAGCAATTTATCCCGAACTAACATTAGCGCCAAATGCAATAAGTAAGTGTGCAATTTCTCGTTACTTGTTTTTTTTTTTGAATATTCACATAAGATAAGAACATGAAATGAATTTAAGCATCAAGATCAGGGAAAATCTAGTTATTAAATTTATAGTTTGTTTGACATCAAACTGCAATAATTGAATCGAAAATTTATTTTTAATACCTATAATGTTGTGATCTTGCATAATTTAATTTCCTAGTTATATAATTTTTAAAATTAGATAATTTCATAATCTTTTAAAGAAAGAGAAGGTCTTTTTTCTCTTAGTTTTTGTTATTTCAACATTATTTTTTGATATTTTTTTTTATAAACAATATAGGGTTCGGAGATCCTGACAATTCGGTTGATGACGATGATTCAGTAGAAAGTTCAGATAGCATCGATAGTCATGAATTTGATTCGTCTTATAACAGTGATGAAAGCGAGGAGTTATTCTTTCAAGTTTATTCCGACGATTTTTTCACCAATAATGGCAGCGATAAAGTTTCCTCTAGCAAAAGCTCGAGGCATGATATTATGGTTCAAAATAGTGATTCTGTAGGTGAAGGAAGTTCACTTCAAAATGGTGAAAATAGAAAAGATACCAATTTTTCAAATGAAGAAAGCATATTTCAGAATATTAATAGAGATGGGATTGTTAATTCTAATGTCGTCAGAAAAGTTACTTTCAATAATTCAAATGGTAAAAATACGATGCAGGGTATTGTTAGAAAAGATGGTTGTTTTAACAACGAAAATAGGATGCAGAATACAACAACTATTAAAAAACGTGGATATAGTTATTCTGATAAAGAATGTATCCTACAGGATGATTGTCTTATTGATCCGGAACAAGATATTGACAACTCTATTGATGGTTATTTAGTTCATGACTATTCGGAAGTTTCATCACAAAGAAGCCTTGATCTGCTGTCAGATAATAATTTAAGCGACTTTGAATCTCTTCAAGATATGCTTGACATAGAAGCCGAGAATGATGACTGCTTTTCTGACGAAGATTTTGATAATTCTATACAAAATATTTCCAGTTACAAAATTGAATACTCTAATAATACATTGAATACGGAAATTACATTGAATACGGAAATTACATTGAATACGGAAATTACATTGAATATGGAAACATTGAATATGGAAACATTGAATATGGAACCAATGAATACAGAATCATTGAATACAGAATCATCGAATGCGGAAACATTGAATACGGAAACATTGAATATGGAAACATTGAATACGGAATCATCAAATGTGGAATCATTGAATACGGAGTCATCGAATGTGGAATCATTGAATACGGAATCATTGAACATGGAAACTTTGAATACGGAAACTTTGAATACAGAAACTTTGAATACGGAAACTTTGAATGCGGAAACATTGAATACGGAAATAAACAACGATTCCCATCAGCAACTAATTTCAAATGATGATAAAATTTTGGATCATGATTTGCCCCAGGATGGTGATTTCTTTAGTTTCTCAGCTACAACGGTGCCCTTATCATATCCATTAGTCGTAATAAATTCAGATACAAGAGTACCATATATTACTCCACCAAAGTCATCGATTCCACTGACTCCAAGAGCAAGAAGTGTATCTTCATCAGGTGATAGATCTGAATCCCCAACAATTGGATTACCTCATGTTGAATTCGTGTCACCACCATCATCTTTATCATCGCAAGACTCCCAAGATGGTGTACGTTATAATAAAATCCTCAAGAAAGATAATAAAAAAATCAATCGCCACCGTTCAAAAAGTGTAGGTTCGAAATACCACTCTTTGCGTTCTCGACCAGTTAAATATCAAAGTTCGAATAATAATAACAAGCAATCTCTTCAGGGAGGACATAAATCCGATCACACACGCACGAAAAAAAGTGTCATGTCATTTGTATGTCGTAATTGTAACACGACTTTTACAAATTCAAAGAAATTACGAGAACATTGTCGAACTCACGTAGGCGAAAGACCGTTTGTTTGTACGATAAAAGGGTGTGATAAAACATACACAAAAGCAAGTCAATTAAAAGCACATATAAAGACTCATTCAAGACAGAATAATATTATCTTTAACAAGATCCATTTGTAAAAGAACCAAAGAAAATTTGTTATAAACTCTCTTCGGGATAATTTGAAGGGTATAGAAATTTGTTATGCTAAATTTAAAGCTTCATAGTATATTGTCAACATAAAATAGGTTTAGATATTCCTTCAAAGGTAATTAATTTCTTCCGCATTAAAAGTATTCTGGTCTAAAGAATAGAATGTTCTTTTTGTATATAATTCAATAATGATCAACCTGCTTTTTTCAATGATTCTATCAACTTGATGAATCATTATCTTTTCTTACTTATATTGCACGTATTTCTCATTCTATCATTCATTAGTTGTTGATTATAAAGTATTGAAAAATGGAAATCAAGTTAATAGTTTATTGAAATAAAAGCTCTACTAAAGGGTTTCAATTGTCAATATCTTATAACTTTATATTCATATCTAAAAAAAGAAAAAAAAAGAATTATCGTTTATTTTTTTGCATATAATAAAAGTGAGAACAGTTTTTGTACATATTTGTGAAAAAAAAAAATGAAAAGTATATATAATTTTGTTAATTATACTGTAATTGTTATCGATTATTTACTTGCGTTATAATGAATTAAGATTTTGGCTTACCTATTTCGTCTAAGATATACATGTGGCCGAAACCCTCTTAAATTTCGAACATAGCGATTAGTTTTTGGTTTCGAATTTTATCAAATTATTAATCAGATAATAGGTCGGAATTGCGATATAACAAGCTTGAAAACCAAACCCGGCATGTGCCCATGCCAAACAAAAAATTTCAAGGCACCGGCATGGGCATTGGCATTGTGCCTACGGGCACTTTGTGCCTAACTTAAAAGTATCAAACACTTATAAAAACAGGTGCCGGGCACAAGCCAGGCACAAAATGCCCATGCCACAAAAAATGACTGACCCAAAAGTGCCTGGCACTTTAAGCCCATGGGCATAGGCACTGCCCAGGAACTAATGCCAGGCATAGTGCCCAATGTACCCGGCATGGGCATTTGCAGAACCCTGTTGAAAACATATTATAACTAGAGATGTCGATGGTTTCGGCACGTGGCCAAACTCAAATAGCCGAAACTAGTTTGGGACTTTGCCGAAATAAAATCCCAAACTATAATGATATAACAATAATACATTACAGTAATAGGAGTTTAATTAATGTTAATTTTTCATAACGAATAACTATTAAAATTAACAAGCGTTAAAATTTCTATTATTAAAAAGCATCAATTTTTATATTTATTATTTGCAGCATTCATTTACATGTTTTTATATTTTTTAATATTTGCAGAATTACATGTTTTTATATGCTAATTATATTATTGCTCTGTAGCTTTTAAAGCTTCTTTTACAATATCGTCTAATAATTCAAAAATTTTAAACCCTTTTTTGAAAAAATAACCCAATTTATTTATTACTGCGTTAGTATAAACCGAGTTCATTTCTGCTAAGCTTAACAAAAAACGAATTTATAATAATAGTAATCAAAAAAGAATTAATAAATAATCATTATTAAAAGAATCGTTATATTAATTAAAAAGTAACATTGCATTTATTAAAAGTATCGTTATATTAATTAGAAACGTCATTATATTTTTAAAAGCACCATTATTTATTAAAATAATCGATATATTAATTAAAAGCACCATTATATTTATTTTAATCACGATCATATTGTCATCAGGATTTTGGCATATGTATTTGGGACAGTATTTGGGATTTGGGATTGCATTTGGGATTTGGGACAGTATTTGGGATTGCATTTGGGTTTGGACAAAAGCCCGAATCCGACCGAAAATGGCCGTAAGTGTTAAAACAATGCCGAAATAGTTTGGGTGACATCTCTAATCCTAACGATAATCAGTTATCGTCTACAATATAACCAATAACAAGTACTCAGTATATGACGCGTAGAACGCAATGTTAAATGAATTATGAATAACCCAAAAAATTGGTAAAGTGTGTAATGAAAGAAAACCATTTCTCAATGATATTAGATGAACATGACGTAAGATAAGATGAGATTTCTTGAAAGAAGACTAATAAAAGGGTTTCTTTTTAAAATTATTACGGCCTTCATAACGGAGAAAACAACAAACCCCTGACCTAACGGTATTTGGTTGATTTCCTGACAACCTTTTCACCGGCAAAAATTTTGGGGCCCGATTTAGGGTTAGGGTTAGCAAGATTTATAGCCAGTGTTGGCTACAGATTTATTGTCAGTGGTGACCTAACAATGAAATTTGATGATTAGACTCCTACGAAATAATTTTTCGTATTATTGATCAAACCAATAACATTTGATATATCGTAGGTAGTGATGCAGGCGAATCGTCCCAATGATTGCCGTAATTATTTCTGTATGTAATAATTAACTGTTAACATGAATTACGGCATTTTTGCCATAACTTTATTATATTATGACAAGTTACGGCAATTCGCTTGCACCTCTAATCGTAGGCCTCCATGTTATTATATGTAAATAACGAATAATTAACTTACAAATTATTTATAAAACACAATACAAAAGAATTAATACACCTAGGGTTCGGGGCACGGTTAAAAAATTGGGCACGGTTAAAAAATTAGGCATGCCTATCAGGTCATGCCTTGAGTTGAGGCATGCCTATAAGGCATGCCCTTGATTATACGATGTTAAAAAATTTTGCGCATAACTCTTCATATCGGCCGATTTGTAAATTACTTTGATCTGGGCATGTCTTTGGCATGCTCGCAAGGCATGCCTGTGCCTCTGTGCCCCGAACCCTACATACACCTTATAGAATTTAATTATACGTAAATCAAAATTAGAATTTTCGCAAAAAAAATTAAACATTATGCCTTTAATAAGTACATATTTGCGTGAATTTTCTAGTTTTTTTTTTTTTTTTGTATGACTAATAATTAAGGTTAGAATAATGTTGCTGATATTGTTTTGATTAATTAGTTCGTTTATCACCCTAACGCTAAATAGAGCTTCTCTTTATAGTAGCCTCCGAGTTTTGTCACGGTTACATAAAAAAAGCATAATACAAAAAGCATATAATCACAATATATTAATATCATTGATTTTTTGATGCATTTTATCAGATTTCTAATACTGTATTGTTACGATATAACCGTGTAATTTCGAATAACAAGCTTAATTCAGGGCATTATTTAAAAAATAAGCATATGCTCGTTATTTCTCAACAATACAGCAGCACGATATATAAATTAGGTATTTTTTGTCCTCTTTTTTTTTTTCGAAAAGAGATGAAAGCAATACCAAATGAATGTCTTGTTGAAATATTTAATAACTTTCGTGCCCATCGCGAAAGCTTATTTTCATGCCTTTTCGTAAATCGTCAATGGTGTGGAAATGCTATACGATTATTATGGAGCGAACCGGATAATTTTCTTGAAGATAAAAGACTTATAAAAATTTATCTTTCATTATTAAATACCGAAGAACAAGCTCAACTAATACCACTTAATATAATCCTTCCAAACGAAAATCAAAATCTTTTATTTGATTATTCTTCCTTTATCAAATCTATTATCGGTTCTCATTTAATCCTTGGAATTATGAACTGGCTCAAAAGTGATGGAAGTAATATTTATTATTCTGAAGGATTTTTTATTGGTTATGAGGAACATGGTAAAATTATGAGATCCATGAATCCCATTCAAACAATCAAATGTGCTTTGATTGAAATGTTTTTACGAAAATGTGAGAATCTAAGCTGAAGTCAGTAAATAAATCTGTAATAAACTAGCTAGTTTAAGTGGTTAGGTATTATAATAATATT